GAGCCTCACAATGAAAGCTGGAAAACTAAGAGCCCTACTGTATGTTCTTCATTCCTAGCAACGTTCCTATGAGAAAACCTTATTAATGAGCTTGCAAACGAGCACCCAACAGGGAAATGTCACAAACAAGAGCGGCTAATGCCCCAGAAAATCAAATAACTGAACACTTGGCTGATTGTGGTGCTTTTCATATTTATAATAAAAAAAGAGGGGGGGCTTTAATTCACTAATTCTGAAGGGGTCAACACCTTGCTGAACAAAACAACTCATTTATTTATGTTCAGAAATCTCCAGATGATAAATTACATTGATGTTAATCACTTCAATGCATGCTACACAATTAATATCTGTACTCACCAAGAACTTAAAGATTATTAAAAGTATGACAGCATACACATCTGGCTGATTTTTCACATAATTGGGCACAACAATTTCTCCTGGTACCACAAATAAGGGTCCTCACAAACAAACACTGCAAAATTCTGTGTTCAATTAATTAGGACTTAAATCCACAAGACAAAAGCAATACCAAGTTGTAGCTCAAGCCTTGTCTTCTAGGCAGGATAGGAACACTCCACTTCACAGCTCGTCCTTTCCCTGGCAGATTTAAGGTATGCTGCTTAACGATACACAATGAAGGTCTCCGTTGTTTCCTTTTTAAAAAATATCTTCTCAAAAACAATGTAGTTTAGGGCACCTGGGCGGCTCAGTGGTTGAGTGTCTGCCTTTGGCTCAGGTCATGATCCCAGGGTCCTAGGATGGAGTTCCCTGCAGGGATCCTGCTTCTCCCTCTGTCTGTGTCTCTGCCCATCTCTGTGTCTCTCATGAATAAATGAATAAAATCTTAAAAAAAATAAAACAATATAGTTTATACAGAACACAAATTCACTATCTGTCACTTAACTCTGTTCATGTCCTGGTTAACAGCCATTGGTCTTAGATGAGGCAGAAAATGGTTTCCAGAAGGCTTCATGGAGTCACGTGGGCCAGGACTGAACCAAGTGGGTATAATTAATAACCAGTTCCATCAGGTTAGAGTTCCCCCAGGGTAGTCTTATTTACCCAAAAAAGAGTTGTTCTTAATCTGAGGTTCATAGACGAGTTCAGTATTTTCTGGTGATAATCTAATGCTTATAAATGATATTATTAAAAAAAAACTTTTTTAGGTAATATACAAAAGGACATTAAAAATAAAAGCTATATATTTATTTTGATGTTTATTAAACATAATACACAGAGCAAAATAAAATTCCTAATTTGATGTTTTTTCCACAGGTCTTTGTTAGGGAAAAGCAATAAAGTGACTTAAAGACAAATTCTAAATTAGTTCACTTAACTCATTTAACTGTGTGGACAGCCCATGGATATGGGAAAACTAGTCCTTCAATAAATGGAGTTAGAATAACTCTATAGGATAAACAGACTCATTAAATTGGAAGTAAAACATGGTGGCTACGTGCTTCTGTTCATCTTCTTCAGATCTATGGGACTTTTAAGTGGGTTTTAAAGGAGGTTAAGATCAACTGATACTAAGGGTTTAGGCTAATTACAAAATGAGGGTCTAGTGCTCCTCACAGAGTACCCAAAATTCCATCTCCACATAGACTGCTAAATCTCATGTGTTTAAGGATCTCTCCTCATTGCCATCAAGACATGGTGCTGCTTATCTGCAGAGAGAGTGCACCGTGAGAGGGATGGAATTGGAACCACTGGCGAGGGCCAATGACCAACAAAGCCCTGGTGCCCAATGCATGAGGCTTTTTTGTTATTGCAAAGGTGTTCAGGAGAGTAATGCTGGTGGGAAATGATGTCGAGGACCCCAGTCATGTCTGGAGGAGCTACTTAAAGAATTCCTAGTTGAGTCCATCATGTAGTCAGTAGTGCTCCAGGAATGGAGGGTAGTGTGAACTATTAGGTAACTTTCCTGAGCACAGAGTTATATTTAAGATGTCAAAGAAGACTCTAAATTCCCATTCAGATTAATATAATGGTTGGTAATTCTTGACCCTTTTTTTACGTAAAAAGACTTTCTCTTTATGTACATCTGAAAAATGAAGTATCAAGAATAAAATACCCGTGTGGCTCACTTCGGATAAAAAAACCAAAAACACAAAACAGTAGTCTCCCATAAAAAGGTGCTGAATAAGGGACAGGTGAGACTACGTAGAGAGAGACAGGTAGGGGGCTCTGTTACCAAGCTCACAGAAATCCCAGATGTGCAGAAAAATTATAGACAAGATATTAACCAGAAAGAAGGGAATCTAACAAATCTATCTTGTTTGTTCTAAATACAGACAAGATACTGTCATAGTATTTACAAATCTACCTTGTCTTAAATGTTATAGATGAGATATTTACCAAAGTTTCCTGGTTAGTTTTCTATAAAAGACCGACCATAAAATCCTTCCGTGGTAACCCATCCTGGACCCCTCTCACTCTAGAGGGCTTTCCTTTCTGTTCTCACCTTCCCTTAATAAACTTTCACTTCATTTCACCCTATTGCCTGTGAGAATGAATCTTGGATTCTGTGAGACAAGAACCCTGCAACAGTGCTGTGTTAAGAGTTAAAAATGATCAATAGGTTTTTGGAAGGCATTGGTCACTTCCCTGTGGCTGAAGCAGAACTCTAAGATGCAGATTGATTCAGATATGGAGCTTTATTCCTTTTTCTTAGAAGGACAAATCTCTTGAATCTACAGAATATGGAAGGCAAGACTTAAAAATAGATCATTATCAAGTCTTCCAAGAGGTATGAGGTACAGTATTTAAAATATTTTACATTTGGAAGTGAGTGTAACTTCAAGGTGGGTAGGGCTATCCTATGTGGAAGATGCTCTGGGGACACTGGAAGAGTTTAGGGGTGGAGACTGGGTGAATGTCTACTCAGGTTTCACAAAGGAGTTAATGTATTATTAAAGCTAATGGGCCCCTACAAGGAAAGTTAATGGATATTAAGTTTGCTTAAATGAATTACATATTAACAAAGTCACAAGAAATCTACTATCTGCCAATTTAGATAATATCTGATCATTTCTGTTTTCCCATTATAGGGACATTACACCACAATAGTTTTAGTGATATGAAAATTATAAGCATGATGCCCATAATGAAGCTACATAATGAAGGAGATGAAATGAATTAACAAGAAAAACCTGCATTATGTAATGTTAAATTGAGCCAAACTCACAGAGTAAGAAAAGGTTAGAATGGGACTGGTGTCTCAGAAGCAACTTTTTACATTTAATTTTAGTCAAAAGGTGGAGAAGCAATTAGAAGCCACTGTTTACACCTTTCCCTGGCCCCTGTTTTGTGCAAGCGATGTGCCTCACACATGTGCTGAAGACTATAGTGGGCTGAATGGTGGCCCTCAAAAGATATGCTCACTTCTTAGCCTCGGAACCTGTGAATATAGATAGCCTTATTTGGAAACAGAAGTCTTTGCGGATGGCATCAAGTTCAGGATCTTGAGATGAGACCATTCTGGATTAGCTGGGAGGATGCTAACTCCAACAGTAAGTGCCCTTATAAGAGACATGAAGAGAAGAGAAGGCAAGCCCGTGGTGAGACAAAGCAAGAGACTGGAAAGACACGGCCACAAACCAAGGAATATCTGGGACCCCCAGAAGCCAGAAAAGGCAAGGAAAGCTCTCGTCCTAGAGCCTTGAGGGAGTGTGGCCCTGCTAACCCCTCAATTTTAGTCTTCTGTCCTCTAGAACTATGAGAGAATACACGTGTCATGTTAGGCCACAAAGGTCGTGATAATTAGTTATGGCAGCCCTAGGAAATTAATGGAAGAATTCATAGATGCTAATGCTTTGCCTTTGTCAGATACCCTGTGGTTGCCTTTCCAACCAAATTCTTCCAACATTCCCACTACACACATTCAAATATCACCTCCAATTTTTCAGAGGCTCAGTTATAGAAGTCTTCTGATAAAAAGCAGAGACGTTGGCTACTTGGCCACGACTCTGCTGCAAGGATGGTTTTGTGCAGAAGACATTTGGGGAGGACGTAGAGTCCCGAGAGAAAATAAGGAGAGTGTCTTTACTTCATTGGGCACAGTGAGGACACAACCTCACTCACCATGATCTAGCTATTATTGATGAAGCCATTGAGATTGTGGCACTGATCCCAAAGACTTCCACTTTTAAACTCATTGCTATACTTTAAGCTAAAAATGGAAGAGAACATGCAATTTAAAACAAAATGCTGGTGTAGAATGGGAATAAAAGCCCCTCTACAAAAATTAAAAACAATTTTGGTACTTCTGCGGGGCCTAAGAAAGTGTCAGGGACTACTCTAGATTGTGAAGTTGACATAGAAATGATTATACTCAATATTCATAAAATACAATTAACTAAGTCATGTGGTAGAACAGATTGGAATCATTTTAAAGTTCTACAGTTGGGTTAAATGTAATATTTTGAAAATCCTCATTGGCATGCTGTAATATGGCAGTGTTTCAATAAAATAATCCTTTGATTATTTTACTACTAAGACAACAAGATATAAACTCTATCTATGCTATATAAAACATATGTATTCAATAAGTGGCTTCTGAAGTATTTGTAAGCCAGCTACTCTATGTCCTCAGGATAAAATACTCAGGTGCTGCTATGATTTGAATGAATGTTTGTGTCCCTCCCTCCCCAAATTCCTATGGTGAAATACCAGCATCTGGTGTGACGATATGAGGTGGTGGGGCCTTTGAGAGGTGCTCAGGTCATGAAGGTGGAGCCCCCATGAATGGGATCAGTGCCCTTGTAAAGCAGCTCTGGAGATCTGTAGCACCTTCTGCCCTGAGAGGACACAGCATGAAGGCAATGGCTATGACCCAGGAAGAGGGAGGGCTTTTTCTAGAACAGAACCATGCTGGTACACCTTGATTCTGGACTTCCTAGCCTCCAGAGCTGTGAGGAATCAATTACTGTTGCTTATAAGCTACTCAATCTGTGCTTCTTTCTTAACAGTAGCCTGACCGGACTAAGATAGGTACTCACACTGTACTTCAAGGTACCGCTGAGTCTGCAAGTTTCCGGTGACGGCAGGGTGCTCCACCTGACAGATCACTGGGACCCCGTCATCCTCCTTATGCACCTTCAGCATCAGCTGACTGGTCACAGTGTACATGTCTGACCACTCCTCCACCTCCGATTTGCCTGGGGAACACAGAATATACCAAGAAATCAGAGTTAAGTGAATCTCTGTCACTGTTTCTACAGACTCCTCTCCCCGCCCCAACAGAGCTATTTTAACAAGATGATGGAAGTCACTGGGATAAGGGTAAGCAGTGGGTAGATAACAGACAAAATTATAATTTTCTACTTTTCAACCTTGTAGAGGATATATGTAAGCTGTATTTCTACCCCACATAATATATACTATTTTTATTTAAATATATTACATATGTTGTCTTCTATCTTAAAAACCTCCCACAAAAAGGCAGCTGAAAGTTGAACCACTTTGCCATCTGACTGCTTATGGCATTCTGGAGGAGGAAAAGAGAAGAGCTTTTCACCCCTACCACCATCTGAACTTGAAACATCTAGTAGGCTGTCATGCGGTTTAAAAATTCCAGGACATCATCCAAATCTCCAAAGTAATTCAATCAGGAATAGAGATATAAACAGCCCCCTCTGCCCACCCCCATCAGAAACAATTAAGAGGGAAAGTAACTAAGTGGATTTACATAATTGAAATTGTAATTGAAATGTTTAAACTCTGAAACTTTTGGAAGACCACAAAAAACACAGTGGCAGCGGGTAGAGCAAAGTAAGATAGAGGCTTCAGGCCAGATGGGAGACATGTCCAAGAACACCCAGAAAAGGAGGGAGGAGGCTTCCGGATGGGATGAATAGGCCAAGGCGGCCTCTTTCCTGAACTCGGCACTCCCCGGGACATGGTGCACCATTAACTTTCTTTTAATGTTTTGTACTTATCGGTACACATCTAATGGTTCAATTCACTTAGAAAAGCAGAGGGGAAATGAGAAACTCCTTCCTTCTAAAACCATACCTAGGAAATAGGAGATTAAAACAGAGCAAGCTTTTTGAAACTTAAGCTGTTATATATAGATTTATCTGTTTCTAGATATAGATTTTTATATCCCCTTTCTAAAAGGCCTTCTTCTTGTCTTCCTGGCACTCTTGATTTATTCCACAAGCACACACAGAGCACTTACCTTGGCCCAGATACTCACTACGTGATTTACCAACATTCATTCACTCATTTCATCTTCCTAAGAATCCCATAAAATCTGTAATATCAATATCTCCATTTCAGCAGAGATTGCTAAACACAGCTGGCATTCCTGGCAAATGACCAGAGTTGTTTGGCCCCTGGTACCACTTGCAAGGCAATCTTGAAAAGGAAGAGGTAGGAATGCCCACACACATGTTAATTTAGGATGACAGACACAAAAGGGTCAACTAGGGGACAGGCTGTGGCCCAGGCGATGGCTAAGGTGGCAGATATTTGAGGGTACAGGAATCAAACCTGGGGCGGCCTAGGCCGAGGGAGAGAGGATGGGGAGTAGCGTTAAAGCATCGGCCTGCACCACTATCACGAACTAGAAGCTTTGCAAAAGAACAGGCTGGTGAAACGTGCAAGTGAGTTAGAGAGTCCACGATGAGAAAAGGGCCTTCAAATCCATAATTAGGATATAATCCTTACTGCACTTAGCATGCCTGACCCTGCAGGAAAGCACACAGTCAGCAAGCTGACAGCATAGTAACACGTTAGAATAACTTGGAATTCACCATGAAGACTGTTAGACTTTTAAAAAAAAATTTAAATTTTTTTAACATCTAACATGAGAATTTGAGGTGCTGATCCCCCCTAGGTCACAAGGTGAATGAGAACTGAGGTACAACATGGACAGCTGGAGTTCAGGGGATACCTCCAACAGTGGATCTTCCTAATATAAAGAGTTCTAGTTCTTTTTGAACATCTGAATAAAAATTGAGAAATACCCATCATCACAAACCCTCAAACCACAGGAGGAGGATATGCATTAGACTCAATAAAATGCCTTTATGCTTTGGCTTCAGTTACATTTGGTAAATGATAAGAAACCCTATCGAAGTGGACATTTTTGCTTTAGGGGCATGTTTTGCATGTATGTTTAATTTCCACCAAGGTGTACCCCCGCTGGAATCAGGTGCCCACCCACTACTTCAGGACAGGGCAGCCTGAACCTCACCTTTTAGCTCTTTGTTCCCTTTGAACCACCTGATGGTTGTGGCTGGTTTGCTGGCCATGGCGGTGCAGTTCACTTCAATCTCCTCACCTTCCACCGCTGTGTCTTTCTGGATATCGATCATCAGATTGCGTGGTGGGACTACAAATTAAACACATGTGCTTTTTAAACACAGAATCCATTTCTGCACATAGCCTTCTTTTCATTAGAAGTGAGCACCACTGCTATCAAAAAGAGGAGACAACTAACAGACATTCCTGATGGGAATTTAAAACGAACTGCCACCCGAGGGGAAAAAAAGAAGTACAAAGTCATCATCAAAGAACGTGAATTATATGAAAGTTCTTAATTTAGAATTTCTCTCCTACAGTTATCTTGTAAAATGCCCAGCTTCCCACTCCTAAGTCATGAGTGATCGAATTATAACAGTAGTGGTGTTAGTTCTCAATCGGTTAATAGAAAACTAATCAGAATACAGATATAAAAGTAAGACGAGGATACTAATGAGATTATCCTTATCTGGAAGGATATGAAACGACCAGTTCTCCCTGAACTCAACCTTTGGGTTTCAATCTTCACATGAAAGATTTTAAAGACAACTAGTAAAGGTCAAAAACTTGGGAGTCCCTTAAAAGAATCACTCACCATAAACACATGGAAAACTTGTGCTTAGAACCAGTTTCATTCAGTTTCAAATTATATGCAGAGAACTGGAATACAATCACGTCCTCCAATGGATGGGGTAGTAATAAAATCCACTGGATAGGAAGATGTGGTAAGATAGGACATGCCAGTTAATTTGCTCTAATTTTCCCATGTTCTGAAATCTAATGCTCCAGATTTTAGGAAGCAAAGGTGAAAAAGACTATTAAGTGCTTGCAAGTCCATTTGATATGTCAGAATTAAAATCACTCTTCTTTAAGCCTATTAAGCAAATGCAGTGAGATGGTCAGCATAAAATATTTGGGGGCTAAAATGCTGAATATCAAATCTAGAGTATGTAGGATGATGAGGATGGTAAGAAAGCATGTTATCTTTCATGAAACTGAGTTGATGGTGAGACTTCACATCAGGTGCAACCTTACCTCAAGATGGAGCTTCTTGAAATAAAAATCAGTGAGAATATGGAATTCAGCACAGCGAATCTCAGACTATGTGCCCTGACCACCATGAATAAGCAAAGACAGTTCTGAGACTTATGATTAATAAGTTTCTCAACTCAGAAGAGAAACAAGAAATTAAATATGTATAAACATGCCATCCTGATGATCAAGTTGAATAATAAATCTCTGATACTGCTTCAATAAGTTATGGGATTAAACCATGTATTTGGGATTTCCAACTGTTGGAGTCCAATGTAAAATTCTGTGTACAGGAAGACTTTTACATTGAACTGAAGCACTTTGAAAATTCCTTCAGAGAACGATGGAAAAGGAAAATGATATGTTGCATATGTTTCTCAGCAAGACAGTATGTGGGGTGTGCGTGTGTGGAGGGGCAACTATTAGAGCAAAAGTGGGCCTTTTCTTTGTTCCCTGTGTAAAAGGAAAAGAACACATTTGCTCAACTGCATGTGTTGCCAAAGTGATATGGCCAAAATGAGTAGTTAAACATGGCAAAGAACTACCCTGACTTACATTTAAAGAAAAAAAAAAGCATAAAGAGATATAGTCTAACATCCAATTTGGAGTTGCACATCTGCCAGCATTTTAAGAGACACAGAAAGGCAGTGACAAAAGTAAATGGGACGACTTAGCTCGCTATTTCCTGAATGTAGATATTCTTGCCAGATGACAATCAGAATGGTTATAGATTTTCATCACACACACCTCGAGAGTTGGTAGGGAATACACAGAGACTCCAGGTTTTGGACCAACAAATACTACCAAATTCTGAGTGCGGTTATCACAGAAATATTGAAACAAAATGCTATTGCAAGAGCAAATGTCAGAAAAAGACTGCCCACGCCTGAAGAAAATAAGATCTTTGTGAGCTAAGAGGAACAAAGTTGAGAGGCAGACGACAAAACCACCAAAGAATAAAGACCTAGGAATGTGCACCCTGCCACACACACACGGAGGAATCAAAGTCAAACAATAACAATTCCTGTCAAGGTTCAGACAAAAATAAAAGTAGAGTGATGAAAATCATTTCTGGGGGTCCTTGGATGGCTCAGCAGTTTCCTGCCTGCCTTAGGCCCAGGGCGTGGTCCTGGGATCCTGGGATGGAGTCCCACATCGGGCTCCCTGTATGGAGCCTGCTTCTCCCTCTGCCTGTGTCTCTGCCTCTCTCTCTCTCTGTGTCTCTCATGAATAAATAAATAAAATCTTTAAAAAAAAAAAAAAAGAAAAAAATCATTTCTGATGTTGGAATCTGCCATGATGCCCAATGAGAAATGTGACTGAGTGCAGTGACTGAAGAGATAGTATTCGGTCTAAGGAAATTCAAACCGAGTAGGGGAGACTCAGGGAAAGTGGTCCTCTTTGGATAGGACAAAGAGGGCAATGGAGTCCAATGGATTTCAGCTTGCTTGGGTAAGTCTAGAGAAAAACCTTGATGGTGGCTCTGTGGTGACCTGGGAATCTTGACGGGAAGAAATCCAGGAGTTGTTAGAAAGTTCTGGCATGTAGCACTGTCAAGTCTCAGTGGTACCCAGCCTCTAGCACAGGCTTTGTTAGGCATTTGTTTCCTGCGTGTTCCTGAGTTTCTTTTCGTTCATTCTCTCCTTGTTCGTGCTGGGCCTCTGAAGACAGCTCAGCTCACCTTATCACAGGCTTTTCCTACCCGCTGTTAGCTGTTCCTCCTCAGTGGTATTTCTCTCTGTAAGATGGAGGTGGGCATGGAGACGACTGTTTGGCATGCTCTTTCTGCGTTACCACTAACGTTTGCTGGCTCAGAGGAAGGAGATGGAAGAGCACACATATAAATGAGGCCAGGGGAACACCTAACAATGCCTGTTAGATCTTGTTTGGAGGCTCAGAGCCTGACCAGCAGCAATCCTCTCTGTAACAGATTATCTATTGTTTGGCATTGTCCATGCTGCTTCTTCCTCTCTTGCAACAGATAAGACGTCAAGTTCCCTAACCCTTCTGGGGTTGGGGCGGGGGTGGGCGCCTATACTCGTGCTAGGTCCTCAGGTCACGTTCCTGAAGAGCTGATGTCATCTAACTTCATGGCTAAAGTAAATGTGTGGACAACTGCCACATCTTGGAAAATGAAACCAGTGCAGAAAAATAAAGGACTTATTTGTGATGGAGAAGAGCATCCTGAGAAAGAGTGGAGTGATTTTTTTCCCCCCAAGTCCACATTGTGGCCAGGGTTTCTGACTTTACTAAAATGAGAAGAAGAAACAGTCAAGTATAGTGGGAGTTGCGTGGTTTGCAAATCTAAAATCAAACCTGATAATGTGAGTCACAATGGTTTATTGATATTCACTATCAAGGTGATGTCTCGGATTTCTTTTTTTAAAAAAGATTTGACTTATTTATTTAAGAGAGACACAGAGAGCGGCAGAGACATAGGTAGAGGAAGAAGCAGGTTCCCTGCGGGGAGCCCGACTGGGACTCGATCCCAGGACCATGATGTGAGCCAAAGGCAGATGCTCAATCACTAAACCACCCAGGTGCCCCATGATCTTTTTTTCAAGAGCAAGAAAGCTTTGGAAAATATAAATGAGGTGATTTAAGTCTCTCTGGAAAAATGAGGCTGGACAAGAAAAACTTCAAGTTTATTTTGGCCTATTAAGTATCCTGTATTCCCTTCAACTCCACAACATCTGCTGTAATGCAAAAGTGGTTTGTAAAGTATAAAAATCCATTTGTGGGAAAAATGAATTAAAACTGCTACTAACCAGAGAATACACTTATATGTGCTCTACTAAACAGACAAATTTAGTAAAAACTGCCTGCGGCCATTAATGAAAATAACCAAAGGTGTATGTAAGGAGGTGCACACAGATGAAAACCTGAATGAAAATCACAGGGGAAAATACTAGAAAATAGCAAAGAAATGTCAAGGTTCTTCTCAGCTAACCTCAAATCTATAAGAGTGCTCATTATAAACATTACGCCTACAACATTAAAAAAATCAGCAATATCAAGATGAGTCACACGTTAATTACAACAAAAGAGGAGTCTTAAAGCTGATCAGTATGTGAAATCTCACTCCAAAACCCTTTAAAATAATTAGGTTCTCCTGTTCCTGGAATCTTAAGAGTGAACACTAATCTTAGAAGGACAGGACTGTAATAATATTAGCTGCTATTATCAGTAACTATATTTATCTTCAAGCGGTGTATTCTCTTTCTTGTTCCACTGTTTCCACGAATACTAGCATAAGAGAGTCCTACGCTATAATCTAGAGAAAGGAACAAACTCGCTAGTGAAAGGAGTGAATGGAGATCCTAAAAGGCACCTAAATGCATGCAAAAAATCATTGGAGAGTTTTCAGTTTTTACATGGATAAGATAATACATGTAATAGAACTAACAAATAACCATCTCTACGTCTTATAATTATGCTGAAATTTTTGCTGAATGCTTTGAACAACTAATAGACACATGCACTAAAATCAGCATCTTCAACCTATCAAGAAGTTTGACAGCTGTGTAAGTATATATGGAGTCCTTTTCAGAGAACCATAGATAGAAGCGAAGATGCTAATAAATCACTCTTCATTCATTAGAATATCTGAAAATTCTAAACCTTAGGAAAAAGGTTTGAATATATGAGTATCAGTGGAAATTGTCAGATTTTGGAATATGAAAGACTCAAACACTGATGACAACAATTTCACTCCATCAAAGAATCCTAGAGTCAATTCCACAGAAAGAATATTAAATGAATACATAATATCTGCAGAAAGAGCATCTACTAATATTACTTTCAAGCATGTTTAAGTTAATGCTTCTATACAATACAAGCAGGAACCTATTACTTCTAGAATAATCAGACCTCCAACAGAATTATAGGCATAAATGCCTCTTCAAAGTCTAGTGCTGTCATGCTGCCTCCCAAGCACCGGGTATATTCAGTCAAGCTGGCCCAATCCAGCATGTCCGAGAACAAATGTACCAGATTCTGGAAACTGACAGGCAGTCCTGTCACAAAAGATGTTCCCCTCCAGGGGAAAGTCACAAAACGGCAGCATTTGGGATTTTACTGAAAACAACCCAGGCTAAAAGACACAAAGGTTGTGAGATGGAACAGTAGGGTCTACCTCAAAGTCTAAGATTCTAGATTTGTACCATGTGCTTTGTAACCCGGGCAAGATGGCTCATCTCTGTTATTATCATTTCTTCCTATGAAAGATATTCATAGTCAAAGGTATATGTAGAAAAAACGCTCTGAAAACTCAGAATGCTGTAAGTATATTTCATTCCATGGCTGTTAGGCTTGGAAAGGCCATAACCAATGATGGGTCAGTGGGTGGATGATGGTCAGCTTGCAATCTGCTTTATTGGAATGAGTCACTGGTTGCACAGTGTTTTCAAATACTTCTGAACAGTTAGGTGGACAGAAAACCTCAAGGCACACCTGCAAAATACCAAAATAACTCATCCCAGCAAAACCTTTTACGCTTATTATTGCTACAGGTCTAATACAGCGTAATGCTAAAATTAAAGCAGCCGTGTCCATCTGAAAGCCATCTATTGCTCAACACAGACCACAGCAGGAATTGCGTGGACTGATAACGAAACAGGACTTCCTCAAATCAGTATCCCTCCTATCAAGAACATGTATGGAAGCACTAGGGACATGTTTTAGTTTAATGAATGAAAAAATATTTTCCCTTTTACAGCTGTGTTTAAACAAAGTAATGAGGCAGCAGCCCAAAATGTACATCCATAAATACATACATGTTCATACACACCAAGCAGAAACGTCCTTCATATTTATCTTTCCTCCTTAATCTTCATATCATTACACTGAAAAGCTGCACTCTGCCGCCTCAAATAGACTTTGATTCATCATCTTTCTGAAGGTGTAAATCAGAGATCTTGCCTCATGCTAGAGTGTACGTCCTTGAAAACTCAGTTTCAAAAATCAAAATCAGCGGGTGTTATGCACTGGTGTACACATTTGTCCAGAAGGGGACTAATTCAGACCACTGTCAACACAGGAATATGTGCTGACTGTATCAAAATCTAAATATGGAAACTTAGCTACTGGGATTTTCCTGAAAAATCACAATCTGATGATTATAACGAAAGACATCCAACTCACTAGAAGTGTCCTTAGCAGCCTGTCAATAGTCCTTGCTTATTATCACCTTTCTCTCACTGGAAGCTCTTAATTCTGTTATGTCCAATGGTTGCAATTTGTGGTAAAGTGTGTGTTCATGGGGTATGATTTTTACAGCATGATCTAGAGTATAAGCAATACACAAGGCAGTAAGTAAAGCCAAAGATAAGGAGATCAACAATATTAAATGAGATGTAACTCAGAAGGAAGAATCATTAAGCAGATTTGATAATCGAGCTCTGCCACAGGGTATGGATATAGCAGCCCACCTCCTCCTCTCCTGCACGGAGGGGGAAGAAATCCTGGCAGTTAGAAGCAATGGCATTTCATGTGGGGAGTGGTTCATTTGAGGGCTCTAAATTCTCTTGATCTTTGCTTCTAAAGCTTAAGGGTTGGAACTCAGGAGCAGGTGGGATCTACAGAGACTGCTGATTGCCATTCCTTAAGAGTGTTTGGTAAAATAGGCTATTTTTAAAATTTAGCAAGATGAGTGGTGATTCTTCCTAAAACAGGTTTGAAGAGCAAAATTTACCATTAACCTCTTCCTTGCTGCCAGAAGCCATCTGGTAGTAAGGGCCACCCTATTCCGTTTCCCAGGACACCACCCCATGAGTTTCTTACCCAGCACCGTGATTGTGGTGTAACTTTCCTGTGGGGGGTCAGTGTAGAGCTGGCAAAAGTATCTTCCTTCATCCGAAATTGAGACATTTGTCAGCGACACCTTGAGTTCACTGCTAGAAAAATTCAGCAACTGAAACCTGCTGTCCTTCAAAGCTGTGGAACAAAACACAGAGTTACTGATGAGGAGGAAGATGATAGCCCATCTTCCTTACCTAGGGAAGGGAGAAAGGAGAAAGGAGAAAGGGGATTCGAAAGGCCTCTATAGAGAAGAAGAATCGAGTACATCTGTGTGTACCTGTTGGGTCCTTCTTTAGACTTCTTGAACTACTATTTTGGGCTTTTGCAATAACTGCATGTAGACAAATAACCTTGTCTGAAAGGAAACTGACACACATGGGGGTCTGTGGGTGTATGCGCGTGCACACACACACACACACACACCCCACATGCTCCTTGCTGTCAGTTTCCACCACTTATTCATAAATTGTTTCAGATTTTTCTACTGCAGTTCAGTAAAGTGAAAAGAGAAGGATGGGGTGCCTGGGTGGCTCAGTTGGTTAAGTGTCTACTTTCAGCTCAGGTCACGATCCTGGGGTCCTGGGATAGAGCCCTGTGTCAGGCTTCCAGCAGAGCCTGCTTCTCCCTCCACCCCTCCTCCAGCTCATGCTTGCCCTCTCTCTCTCAAATAAATAAATAAAACCTTAAAAAAAAAAAAACCAAAAAACAGAAGGAAAGTGCAGGCTGTAAGCTCCCCCTTTGGGCACTGAAATTTCAGGGAGTAGGACCTACTGGCTTTTGAGTTGTCTCTCAAAATCTGATCTTAAAAAAAAAAAAAAAGCAGTTCCAAATTACGAAAACAAAAATGTCATTATTATTAATTTCAAAAACAATATGGAATTAAAAAAAAACACTTCATAGCATAACAGCTCAATTTAATGTGGATGCACCTTTGCATTTGGTATGGTTGGAGGTAGAGTTGTCCAAAGTCCATAACCTAGGGCTTCCTAGAGCCTAAGACAGCCTACAGTTTTCTAACTACATTCAATTTCACAATAGAAAATGGGTGAGGAAGTAGGAAATCAGTCACCACCAAAGTAATGTATGTGGGCTTTTTATTAATTTCAAATATTCACTTTTAAAGTCCTTAGGTTAATTTTGGCAGAGGCGTGATTCATTTACAATGACAAAAATTTACTCTAAGAATGGCTGGCTCCTCTTCTTTTACTTCCCTTCATCTTCCCTTTTAGATGTTCCTTAGTTTTATCAACTCTTTCCATAGTTCGTGAATGTTCTAGGGCATTAGGGAGAATGTGAACAAGCAGATGTGAAGGGACATTCCTCGACATCTGCTTCAATTAGGTATCAATGGTCTCAAGGAGCTATTTTTTGAAAGACCCGATTCTTGGTCCTTTTATGCTCTGAGATCCATTTGAACCATTCCTAGGATATACAATTAAGTTTCAATGATTAACTTTTGGGATATTACATTTAGTAAGATTTCAGCATGTGATAACCTCTCTCTACCAGAGGCTATGGCGATAAGAGATTTTGGTTTTGTCTTTATAGGCACGCATTATCTTGGAAACTTCCATCTTCAAACCAAACAGATTACCCTTCAGAATGCTGTATTTTCCTTGCCTTCCCCTTTTTGAGTTGTTTGTGTCAGCTAAGTATTTGGGATTCTATTGCAATTCACCTTGAATTACTACAATCAATTCCTATTGCAAAGTAAGACTGCTTTACTTTTAAAAGGGACCATTCAAGGTTTCTATTAAGTAGAAAGATTATGATTGCATGTCTCTTCTTCCCTCTGAAGAATTGACTAAACTTTAAGCATCTAACATTAAATTTAGAAAAGGAGGCTTTGGCAATCTCTTTATCAAGACAACATGTAGGGGAAAAAAAGTTGCCACCTAACACTACAGAGATGGAAACTTACGCCTGAAGTCCCTGAAATAAATGGTCTGCCTGTTGGGATTCAGCAGTTGAATCACAGAGTCATCACTCTTATTGACTTGGCAGCTGATGGTTGCGACTTCTCCCTCGATCACTGTCACATCTTTTGTAAACAAATTCTGTCCATCACCTTAAAAAAAAAAAAAAGAAAATTTCCATCAATTAAAATTTGGTTAATGGCGCAGTTAAAATGAGAGACAAGAAGGGTAATCAAAAATGGGTATTAAGAGCAACATTGGTGTGGTTCCCATCTTTCTTCCTCTGTAGGCCACAAACAAATGAGCCTGTTAATCCCAGAGAGATCCAAGGACAAAATGCAACTAAGCCTGGAATCAACAAGCTATCAACAGTCGTGATGCCAATGTCCCAGGCTCCAGTATCTTGTACCAGTTAAGGAGAGTGTTGGAAAGGTATGGAGAGGTCAGAGAGCTGACTTTTCTAAGAAGCTGCAGCTCTCACGAATGGAGTAGGGGAGAAGCATATACTCAACCTCAGTTCACATGCCCTTGAGCTAAGCTATTTGGTCGCCTCACAGAAAACTCAAGGGGCCACTTAATAGAAGAAGGGAGGAGGGCTCAGTAAATAATCTCATCTTGTTAGCTGATGTCGACATTCCCAAGGCATAGGCAGTTCAGCTGCTTACTGCTTGGGAGTGAGGACCTCTCTGGAGTCCTGGAATCCCAATCAAATCCTGGGAAGCTTATATGTGAGCCTATTACTCTGCTCTCTGAAACTTAGGCCTTCATGACTCACTCAAAGCCCCAGGCAGGCCCGAACCATGCCCCTTCCATAGATCACCCCCATCTGGCCATTTAGACATTATCCCTCAGAACATGTCGAAAAGTCAAGGCTTTCAGATCTAGTGATAGAAGGCTTCTCTCCAGATCTGCTCTGGTTTGTCGCTTTTATGATTAGTGACAGCAGCCAGGGCCACTCATGAATGTCCCCTATGATCCACAGCACAGGTAGAGAAGAGGAGAATTCAGTTCAAAAGCAAAAGATGAAGTAACTGTGGAAGGCCCTATTCTGCACCAGGCACAGCAGAGGATACAGAAATATAGGGCACTGTACAGGCCTTTCAGAAGCTGCCACGTGGCTGAAAACTATCTAATCTTCACTTACAAAATAAAAAGCAATGGGTGTAATGGTCAATCAGGAAGGGGAGAGGAAGATTGCTTTTCGGCTGTATGATCTCAAGTAAAGTATTTCAAGTCCCTGAGCCAGTTTCTCATCTGCAAAATGGGGACAGTAATTCAAAGCCCTCTCACAGAGCTGTCAGAAGGACTGAGGAAGGTAATAAATATAAAGCATTTAGCACTGTCTAGTTTCTTATAAAACTGAATAAATGGTGGCTGCCATCATCATTGCCATCCTTTCTCTAGTTGTCACATCCCAACATTGATTCGGCAAGTCCATCCATGTGTTGAGTAGTGTGGATACAAGAATGAAGACCCACGGTCACTCTTCCCAAGCTTTCCAGGGTAGATCAGGGTAGTTCATTCACTCCTCCCACCAAAACAAACAAACAACAACAACAACAAAAACCCCAAACCCAACTTTGTCGCGTTTAGGAACAAAGGTCAAAGATAAATACTATTGCAAGAGAGGAAGACTGTGGGAGAGCATATGCATAGAGATGCAATTAGAATAAATGGAGGATTTCCACCTGCTACTGTATTTCTGCTGAAGGATCCTTTTTTGGCAGGACACAGAGAAGAAGTGTGAGAAGGGTGTCTGAGATGGCTTTAAGCCAAATCCACCTAGAAACAGACTAGCTTCTGATAGAGGACTAGGACGGAAGGAAATAGAAGATAAGGATGAAACTATTAGAACCACAGACAAACAAAAATTCTTGGTGCTTGAGGAACCAAACCATGTGAAACCCACCCTTGAGATGCTCTCTGATGCAGGGAATTAACTGAAGTGGGAGAATGTAGGTAGTGAGCAGAAGGGGTATATTTTCCCTAGCTTGATCCAGCAGTGAAAGCTCAGTGGCTGAACAATGCTGTGGAATTGTTGCAGAATTTTAATAAGAAAAAGTGATCAAAAAAACCCCCAAAACAACCCTACGAATGAATGCCTATTTTTCCCTCTGTAGATCACTGTGACAAATGCAGAATTCAGAAGCCAGCTGGAGGGAGCAGCGTATTCCCAGATTTGAGAAAAGAACAACGAAAGGGGAATTCCTGCCAATCAAGCATGCTTTTCGAGGTGGTTTGACTGGCTCTGGCAAAAGTATCTACAGGAAGGACGATACCCTTATTTCCTTGGGGTAACCTAATCTAGTAAGAAAATTAAAGAAAAATTAAACTGCATAATTCCAATGCTGTACTGCCCCCTGAAGTCACAGGGCTTGCCTTGAGGAGATTAGGATACCAAGTGGGGTCTCTATCGGGTCATGGGTAGATTTCCTCTCTCTAAAGATATTTGTTACCAACGTAAGTAAGAATCTTCCATTTACAAAAAGAACCTATGGAAAGGCCACCTAGTGATAGGCCTTAATCGCTTCAATGCCAACCACGCCTTGCAGGTCCTGACCACCATCTTGTGGGTACTGGAACTTAAAAGCCAGTTGCAATTCAACTGGATCCTAATACTTCCTGTGGAACTAACTGTACCTTTTCGTGTTATTCTCTGGCATGCTGGTATATTCTTTCTGGATAGCACCAATATCGACACAAAGTCTATCAAACATTTGTATAGGAGATGAGAACAAAGAGGGGTTGACTGGGATTTTGTGTTTGGCACAAGTAATAAAACAGAATCAGAGGGGTTTTGTGTGTTAAAAAATCTACACATTCTTAATTATTACTTATAATTAGGAAAATAAGACCAGATCACTTTAGCATGTTATGATTAAGTCATTCAGTAAAATTTCTGCCATCTGCACTGCTCTGGCACACAGCGTACTGTGCAAATCCATGGTGGTATCAAAATCATTACTGCATTATTTTTTCAAATTGCTAAAGCCAACCTCAAATCCAGAGTCTCAAGAAAATGACAGTTCCTAGCTATGTTAACATGGTTATGATACTAATGCTAAAAAATTACAAGTGATAATGAAGTATTTTGCTGAAAGAGATCAAAGTGCCTTGGCTGATGGTGGTGGCCCAAGAATGTCACTGTAAAAATCACCAATAAATTACGTGGGTCAGCTGGACAGTTATATTAAATAGAGCTCCATACTTGGAGGCGCCATAGGATGGCTGCAATGGAATAATAATGACCTATTTATTTGAGACACCGAATGTGAATGACAGTGATGAAAATACGATTTGTATGTCAGTACTCTTAACTGCCTGAAGCCTTTATGTAAAAATAATTTCTGCTCCCATGCTCAAATAGTTCTTCCAAACAGAAGGGTGCACTGTGACTTGATAAATTTCCCCTTGAAATAGATATCATGACAATTAGGTTGTTATAAAACACAACTTGATGTGTAGCAGAAGGGTACAAACAGGCAACGTAGATGCCTTTTTTAAATAATCCGTTTAAAAAAAACTTGCTGATTTCCTAAAACTCAATTAGCAGATATACTGTCAAGGCAGAAATAGCACATGTTCTGGGTGAAAGAAATCAAGCAGGTACAATATACCACAACCATTAAATAAGGCTGTTAACAGCAAGGTAATTTATTTTAAGGGCGGAACAATGTCTGACATGTAGAGACATTTTTGACTGCTAATTGGTGTATATGGGTGCAAGTTTAAGAGACAGAATAAAACTGGATTTTTATTTATACCAGCAACTATAGTCCCTATAACTTCCTCGATTTGCCTTCCAGTTTCTAAAAATACAACTCTAGTGCCAGAGAGGCCCATTCACTCACAAGCAAGTCTCCTGCGGTAAACCAGAAGTTGCTAGGATGTTTATTACAGGACAGAGAAAGCATATTGTCTAAGGAAAAAAAAAAAAGAATATTTCGATGATTAGTGAAGACCATTTCAGCAGAGTTGGTTAGGGCTGGAGTGGGAGTGAAGGTGCCGCTGGCTCATAAATCCCCTATTCATTCAATCTTCAATTGGCTTAAGTCATAGATTTCTTCTCCAAAACCTCATTTGGTTACAGACTCTATTTCCAGGGCATTACATGAAACACCAGCATTGACTGGAATCTACTTCATCCATGATATGGCCACCTGAAGGGGGTGATGGGGCGAATCTGAGAGCCAGAGCTGAAATGAGAAGCACAGAAGGAGACAAACGTTTTCTCTGGCACTAGGCACTGTGCTGCTTGGTTTGCACATGTTTCCCTCTCCAACTCCTGGACTTTTCAATACTTCCACTTTTAAAGTTAAGAACTGCAGACCTGGAGAAATTCAAATAAGTTGCCTAATGTAATTCAGCAAAGTGCCGGAGCTGGTGTTCAAACTAAGTTCCGTCAGCTTCTCTGGCCCATACAGTTTGTACTTTTAACCACCCAACATCAGGATCCGTTGCCAAGGTTCTATTGGCTCCGTCTTGGAAAATTTACTTGTTTTTAAAGAGGGTTATTTCCCTATGAGCAACTTCTGATTTTTTTTTTAATTTCCATAATTTATCCAGAACACAATTACACACTTGAAGATGAGAGAGAACTGTCCGGAATGTAAAACACCTTGTTTACTACGGCTTCTTTCTTTCAGCACTCAGCACACTTTGCCCCTGGAGAATGCCTTTATTACCAGTGCATGGGGGGCATTTGCCAGCACCAAGAGCTCGCCCCGGCTGCCTGGCTGTTAATAAAGAAAGCACTTCATTTACACCAGGGAGTCTCTCCAGTCAAGTCTATAATAAAAGGGCAAGTCATAGTTAGAACAGAATTTGGTTTATACTATGGCAACTATGTAAACTCTTACTGACACCGAAGAACACAGATGACTAACTGGGAAGACAGTTTGCCCAGAGAAAGAGCAAATAGAGTCCCTTGACCTACTCTGTCAGTAACAAAATCATATTAGGGAGACCTTTTTTTTTTTTTATTTTCCTTTCCTTCCTCTCCCCTCTGCTGAATGAAAGACTGAATCTAACATGAAATCAGCACAATCAGGGTGTCTAAATAAGCAAAAGCCAAACCAAAAATACAGACTGTAAAGCAAAACAAAACCAAAACCTCCCCAAATGAACAAACCCTGCCAAAGATCAACATAGT